AAACAGGATGTGACAGGTGAAGCAGAAAAGTAACCATTATGTTACAACACTATGGTTTGGCTTTCGTTTCTGCCTTGCAATCGATTACATTTCACTTGAATACCACTGCAACGGCTGGAGCACAGGTGAGCCCAGAGAGCAACCAAAACGACACAAAAACGACATGCTCAAATATGGAATACCAAATCCTTCTTTCCGAGTCTTCCAACATCCGTAAAGAAACCCCACCTATGCATAATGCTTGATAACTTTTTAAAAATAAACATACGTGGATGACCTTGCGCATATCATAAGGAGATGACGGGTCCTTTGGGACGACGTGATCAAGAAATGGAACCAAACGATCCACCGGATCGTGACACTCCCTGTGAGGAGGCATTTCACGATTGCTGGAAGGCAGGAAGGTGAGAAACTCTCGTAGGGAAAGCAGAGCATCCACATCGTTGTCAAAAGCTCTGTGAGCAACACCAGAGACAGTGGTGTGAGTTTTAGAACCTCCCAGTTCTTCCTGAGTTAGTGTCTCATTTGTGACCTGTTTCACGACATCAGGACCGGTAATGAAGAGATGGGAGGTGTCCCGGACCATGAAAATAAAATCCGTGAGCGCTGGAGAATACGCGGCACCGCCAGCACATGGACCCATAATGAGGGATATTTGTGGGACAACGCCAGAAGCATCCACGTTGCGCTGAAAGATCTCTGAGACACCGGCGAGAGAATCAACACCTTCTTGAATCCGGGCACCTCCGGAGTCATTAAGACCAATAATAGGAACACCTATCAGCATCGCCTGCTCCATTATTTTGCAGATTTTCTGGGAATGCACCATACCTAGGCTGCCACCGTATACCGTGAAGTCCTGACTACGAAAAATAAACAAAACTATGACCAAAAAACGGAGAAACCATACGAACCTATACAAGAATACCCTACGACCGTTAATTGTGCCGTGACCCGTGACAACACTATCACATGGAATCTTATTTGTTGCCATTCCAAAGTTTGTGCAATTATGCTCCATGAAAGCATCATATTCAGTGAAGCTATTATCATCAAGAAGAATATCTATTCGTTCACGCGCGGTGAGCTTCCCACGCTTATGCTGCGCATCGATGCGTTTTTGACCGCCACCAAGAAGTACGTGCTCCCGCTTCTTCTTGATTTCTTTCTTGACTTCATATAAACGCTCCCATCCCGAAACCGTTGTTCGAAGTAAAAGTCGATTTACAAGCGAGAGTTGACCACACCATGACCTTGAAAGCATTATTCATGTCAAACGGTAGCAATTAAGAAATTTAAAAGATCGTGAGGTCTATGAGGTTTATGCATTAGAATTAATATTTTGTGTTATTTATATTTTTAAAAATTAGTGAATTTAAAAACAAAGTTTATTTTTTAAATTTATTTGTTATAATGGACTTTCAAAGACATCCGCCATTGCTACCGTTATCGGTATTAGCCATGTCGGCCGAGGAGAGGAAGGCTGAAAACGCCCAGGCTGTCGAGGTGCTCAGTCGCGAGGTTCAGAGCCTCGATGAAAACTCGTTCCCTACTCTGAAGTCGATCGGAGAGAACGGTATGTATTTATATTCCTTGGAAATCGTTTCCTAGAACTATTTCGTCTTCGCGGTGGCATCTCTGATACCCTCGATGTCGTCGATAACAAACGTGTAAAGATTCGGGCTAAAGTTACGATCCCAGTGGAGCAATATCCCAGCATAAATTTCGTTGGGAAGCTTCTTGGCCCGGGTGGTCAAACCCTCCGCTCCATTCAGGAGGAGACCCGTACTAAAATGGCTATTCTCGGGCACGGTTCGTTGAGGGATGAAGCAAAGGAGAAAGAACTCCTGTCTGGTGGCGACCCGAAATATCAGCACCTGAAACAACCCCTTCATTTGCAGATCGATTGTCTGGCTCCCCCTGCAGAAGCCTACTATAATGTCTCCCATGCGCTTGCTCAGGTCAAGCGTGTTATGATGCCGGACGCAAATGGCCAACAGAACGCTCCCTGGGGAGTCGGAGCTCCTAATGCTGCTAGCCGTGGCGCCGCGGCAATACGTGGCCGGGGACGAGGCCGTGGCGGCTTTGCCAATCAAGCTGCCTATGGAACTCCAGCGAACTTTGCCACTCCTCCGGCTGGAGCGATGCGTGGGGCTCGCGGTGGTGCCACTAGAGGTCGCGGTTGGGGTGTGAGCAGCGCAGCTCCTGCTGCCGGTCCGACGGCCGCTGCTGTTCCGGCACAAGGTGATGTCTATGGAAACGGAATGGAACAGTATGCTTATCCCGAGCAGCTGACCTACGATCAGAGTCAGTACACTGCTACAGGCTACGAGGACTACTCGGCTCAGTATGGTATGTTTTACCATGGCTCCACCCCGTGTTTTTCGCTCCCCATCCGACCATCGTTTCATCCGTGGTGTGGTCCATTTTTAACTTCTGTAACTGAAGATTTTTTCTTAATAACCTAACAACTCGCCCTAACTGCCAAATTTTCGACCTAGGCCAAACCGATGCATGGGGCAAAATGCTTACAACCGATAGTCGAGGACGAGCGCGTGCACATCCTTATGCCAGACCAGGAGGGAAGGAGGAAACTGCTTGAGTGCCTCCTAAACGCTTAAAATCTCCCAATTTTAAACTCCACTCATGCATTTGCGATCGTTTTCGCGAGGATACTTCACCTGTAAAATTGCGTATAAACTGCCCCTCCCTAAAATCCATTACTGTGTAGTGAAATATATGCCCGTATTATATATATATACATACATGCAACCAATTTTCATCGCGTGTGCATAATCTGTTTTAAATGTTCCCATTTGTTAATTCATTAACAAAATCAATTTAAAATTAATTTGCGTTTTGCTTTAACTTTCGGGCTGATCAGTAAACTCGTAAACATTGGGTTATGTAATTAAACGAAAGTGGTCTCGATCTCTATTGTCCTGCAGTTTTCAATGTTCATCTGAACGCAATTTCCAGTTGGATTTGTTTGGGGTTTGGTGAGTTTTATCATGCGGATTATTTGTTTCCAGCTTGCAATGGTGAGAAATTGCCTCGTCTTACGGGCACGCAGGTCTTCATTACGGGCAAGTACTGTGTCTTTTCAGCTCCTTTAGTTATTTGCTTTTATTCCCCCTTGTTTATGTTATTCTTACATTTTTTTAAATATATGCTCTTTGTTTCGGTGCTGTTTTGTTTCGACCCTTTGTGTAAACAGTTTGGGTTTTGAGTATATTAAAACTCGATATTGCTACGGGCGAGTGCCTGGACTTGGCTTTGCACAACGCAAAGGTTGGGTGGTGGTTGACTGTCTCGGCTTCTATCTGTTCGATCTCTCGTTATGCTGCACCAGTGACTTGGGCGCACCGGTATCGGTGAATTCGTTCCTTTGTTTCCGTTTCTTATTTCAGCGGGTGGGCGTTCGTGGGTAGTTCTGCTTTCGTACCCAATCTCCGATCCTTCAAGTCGGATTCTGGTTTTGTCACTCTGGGGGCCTGCGGTTCCCCACCTCGATTATTCCCATTCACCAGGTTTGTGCAGTTGATTGGTAGTGTCGTGTCTACTTGTTGCACACAGCGAGGGGCTGCTGTGAGCCACGGGGGTCACTGCTGCGGTTTCATTTGACAAAGGGTGATTGACTTATGTGGTGTCGGTGGTTTGCCCTTGTCACGGCAGAATGTGGTGGAGCTCTGGACGTTTGGTGAGCTCATTGCAGCCCGCATCGTGTGTGGAAGACGTTGGTTCCAAACCCTTTCCTTCATTCAGGTCTGAGGGCCTTAAGTGCATCACCATTTTTGGCTCTGGGAATCTGAGTGCTGCTACGTTGGTGTCCTGTTAGGCTGCACCACTGTGAGGTCATGTTCTGATGATCCGTTTTCCATGATTTGTGGAGTTTTCATTTGGTTAGTCAGAACGAAGGTTTATTTTGACCATAAATTAGGAGGAACGACTTGCTTTTACTCTCTCAAGGGGTTTCGTTTTTGCCTCCGCTTAGTACTGAGCGCTACACCTCACGGTTGATGGGTTTCAACAGTCATGGCGCGTTTCCGTGACTTGTGCTGTTCATTCCTTGGGTCTCGTCTAGCTGCTTCGATGGACTCTACCATTGTATGCAAATGTTGCTCGAGGATTCGTGGCGGAAAACGTTTGCTCTCGCCGCAAATATCGTTCAAGTCTACTCCTACTTTGTCATTCAATAATGGGCCGTCTTCGTTATGCTTAAGGTGTGGTAGCAATTCTGACTTGTTTTCGAGGTACGATTACAACAATTTTAAAGGCACCAAGACACCCGACGTCCCTAGGCTCTTCTAGACCTCAATTATCTTTCCCTTCATTATCTTGACAGACTACACCGCCGTACCCAGTCGTACTCGATAGTTCTGTGGCAGGTTTCTTTCGTAAAATCAAATGGGATGCACTCTTGTTCCGTCACAAGTTCTTAGCTGAATCATCTCAAGTCAGCCATCACCACAGAACACTTGGTGAGGTTAGGTGTTTTGACGTTCTTAGCATTCTTTTGCATTTCCGGCACTAGACCCTTGAAAGTACAACTAGCTTCTGGCATCTCTCGGCTACTTGTGAAATCGAGCGTCTTTCTAGCTAATTACTTCTGTGCCAAGGCGTTCTTGGCAGACAGCGTAGCTGCGTTCTGGTTGGCGAGACCTTTCCACCGCCCCAAATGTGTGCTAGTTTCCCATGTCACTGGTTAACGGGTAAAGCTTGTTTTCTTCGTGTTTTTAGTGCCTTTTCCCCTTTTTCTCACAATTCTAAAATGTCAGCAGTAGCGACATTTCAGCAGTTTGCTTGACCTTATCAGTGTCGGGCTGGGGTCACTTCACTAACCCGGATCCCCTTCCCCCCGCAACCTTAATCGAGGTCACAAATATGAAAAAATCATTCGTTAGCAGAGTGCATAAAGTCACATAGCTTGATTCCATTGTGCTATTAACTTTAGGCTGTCTTGTCGAAGAGGAAACGATTGTATGATAGCTTTCCCCATGAAGTTATTCAATAATTTTCCAGCCATTTTCGGTACTTCTCCATTTACGCACAGCTTCGCTCATATCTCGGTGATCAATCCGATGTGAGAAACGGCCATCAGAAGGAAGAAACTTCGCTGAAATAGGGCAATTTCTGCGTCACCGCATGACTAAACAGTCTCCCCTTTGGGGCTGGCTAATTACCATTGCCTTGGACTCAGCTGGAATGAAGCGGCTTATTAAGGGAACATCAGGAAGCAGCAACCTAACTAGGCATTCGTGGGAATTTGGGGTCGCGCCACGGGCAATTGGTAGGAGGCCTTGCATAGAAGCTCACTCGGAAATGGCCCACCTCGTATTTTGGTGAAATTTTGACCAAGAATTACGGAAATTAAACGTGGCGCAAAAAGTGGAACCATCCTAAAAGTTTTCCCATCCTGAATGTAATTCGCGGGTGCAATTGTGTGCCACAGCCTTCCAAGTCAACCTCCACCCCCTCATCTGGTTCGATGTTGATAAAGAAAACAAAGCACATCAACTGAAGGTAAGCCCTAAATGAATGGCCAAACTGGGTGTTTGGATGCTCCTCTTGCATTACCGCTCCCGTTTGAAGCCCCATTTATTCACGCGTCGTTAATGCCCTGATAAGTTTGTGCGGCGCTTAACTTCGGTGGCATATGTGACTGCTTAAATCACACTCCGTGTTGCGATTTGAAATCGCGTTGTATCTTGGCAAAAAAAGCACCTAATTCCAAGGTAGGTGAATGAAGCCACGTCTCCGCTTTACCACAATTTTTTCATTGGTCAGACACGACTGCCATCACTTTCATTCAATCACACGCAAACCAATGACTTGGCGAGTTACCCCGCTTTCCTGTAGCGTGATTGGCTGATGCCGCACGGTAGCTGCATGCAGTCGAATGTGCACTTCGTTTTGCTGACGTGGCTGCAATTATTACTGGGTATGCCCAGTGGAGCAGTTTTAACGGTGTTAGAGGGCATGTATTGGCCTTAAAATTGGGATTTTTTGACAGAAACAATCTGGTCGTTGCCTTACTGAAAAAGTCCATTTGTAGTAAAGGTGTGGGTATGCATACAAATTAGTGCCGAGCGCGCTGCTATAGAACGTAGTCGAGAGTGGCCTTCCGCTTAAGTACTGAGTGTGATGATACCAATTAATATGAGGGGTAATATCTCACGCAGGTTTTGTAGGTAGTCAGATAGAAGTTAGAATTAAAAGCACCGACAACTCTCACTAGCGATAAACGATCCATTCGTGGGTCCCATTAAAGCTGTGTTACTTTCGTTGTATTATGGCCGTCGAGGTAATCAGATTGCCTATACAGACTATTGTGTGTTAACCATCGTTAAGGCGTTCAAAGTTTGAGGCGAAGCCAAACTGGGCTGAGCAAAAAGGACTTATATTACACATTGTAACACTTTGTTAAATAAAACTTTTAGGGACGCCGCAGCTATTTGTACAATTTTTGTGCCTATACCTACTAAATGATTACAAGGAAAGTTCATCCGTTACACGAATGTATAGTCCTAAGTCAAGATTCATGCTGCTTGTACATGCGTATGTTTAACTGCACTGAAAACCCAGTCTCCGCTAACTGTACTTCTTCTGGGTAGTGTGCCAATTTGGCAACGCCTGCATTATCTCAGCCCTTGCACACGTTGGTAATAAATGTTTCAGGGAAGGCTCATTTTATTCCAGCTGAATTGATATTTGTGCGTCGTTCGGCATAAGAATATTATTAGCAGCAACAAATTTATTAAAATATAAGGAACAGGAGGGTAACAAGGATTAGAAAAGGCGAAAATGGGGAACTAAAGAGTTTCAATTATTCCCGAATTGGGAGTAATTAGGTATTACATTGCATCATTTAATTTGATGAAATTTGTAATTTTATTGTAACTAACCTAACTCGCAAGAGCGCTGTTAAGGCTAAAGTAAGCAAAAAAATGTTTAACTGGCAAAACTATCTTATGAAATTATAGGCTTCATCCCTAATCGTGACAATTATGGTATTCGGCAACGATTGTCGGGTCTAATTCAAAAAAATAACAATGCACGGGAAAGCTAGCGTGCGTTGCGCAAAACTTTCTTGCCTTATTAATAGATGTTTTGGTTCATTTTAAATTACTAAGCGTCGTACTTTAAGGTTATCCGCTATTTTCAAGGTCGCGTCCTTCCTGCTGGGCTAGGTTTCGTGCGCAGTGATGATGGACGAAATAATACCCGGCTTGTGGTTAGGCTCAAGACCAGATGTTTCAAAAATTTCCACACTTCATTGTAATGGAATAAAAGCAATTTTAACGGTTGACCTTCAACCGCTACCATTGTCAGCCTTTTCTCCTTTTAAACGTTTGTATATACCCGCCAACGACACGCCCTACGAAAATCTTTTAAAATCCTTCGAAAAGGCCATAACTTTTATTGAAGAGAACATTCGAAGTGGTGTTTTAGTACACTGGTAAGATTTTCCTCTCCTTTTTGTCCCCTAGTCTTGCTGGTGTATCTAGGAGCGCTACAATTGTTATTGCCTACCTGATGTGGAGGTTCCGAATGTCCTTTGGTGAAGCTTACGAAAAAGTTTTGAGGTCTCGTAGGGTTAGTCCCAACGACGGTTTTGTAAGTCAACTGAAGTGCTTCGAAAAAATGAACTTTACGTATGATCCTTCGTCAGAGGCCTACAAGGAATTCCAATCCCAATATGGTAATTGTGGTCTTCTATTTACCAGAAAATTTTTCTCAGCCTATCTGGGTGCCCAAATTCATATGCATTCCCCTTTTCTACCGGCTTATTACTCGTGTAGATTATGTCGGTATGCGGTTTAAATTTAATATTTGAATGTGTTATTAGTAACCCAGTTTTTCACTCCGACGAAATCATCTCTCACAACCGACCCCCTGAAAAGAAAAATTCTGAGGAGATGTAAGATGATTTTGGATTATATTTTGCAATGGTCAGACCTTGCGGAGAGGGTGAATTATTTACTGAATATTTGGAGTGGATGAACAATCTTACCTGTGAAATTCAGGGAAAAGTGAGTTTTTGTTTATTCCCTGTCTTTCTTTATTACTCGCTAATTTTGCGCTTTTCTGCTTTAAAATCCAGCTCTACTGCACCCGGTGCCTTGCAAAGCTCGGATCCTATAATTGGTGTGGTGAGTTCCCTTTCGTATCCTCCGTCAGATATCATGTCTTTGCTGAATGTGTGTCAGGGTTTAGGATTTTACTATCGCTCACCTTCTACTCCAGTAGATTACATTTGCTACCGCCGATTTCGTAAATTACTACTCGTGTCGCGTATATGTGACACTGGTTCTTTGTCAGTTCACGATAGCGAGTTGTATCAAATCGCGTCGTAACTTGGTTGTTCCACAAAACATGTAAATGTTTTTGTTTTAGACTAATAGCATTTTTTTCATCATTTTCAAGGGGAGGGGCAAGCACGTTTTTGGTTTGTAGTAGTCAATTTCCCCCTGAGGTCTTAATAGTGAAGATGCTAACTTTAAACACTCTTCCATTTAGTCGTTATTTTGCCCAAAGTATTGCCGAGTTGCTTTCGTTCCAAAGTAATAGTAGTGGTAACTGAAAACACACCGTTTTTACCAGTTTGCGGTTTTTTTCTTACGATTGTTGGATATGTACGTTAGCACACCTACAGCATTGACGAACATTTTACGCGTCTATCATAACCGGAGCAACAACTACGAGTCTATTAGCTCAACTCGTTACTGACCTCCTACTTGATCCCACCTCATGTTTCTATGCGTCATCCA